CGAGGCCCGGTGAAGCGCGCTCGTGTAGGCGAGAAAAAAAGCCGAATAAATAAAGGAGGTGTCATGAGAGTTTTTGCAAGCCGGCATCAAATCATGCAATGTTTGAAGACGCGGAATGTCAGAATGACGAAACTTTGGAATTATCATTTTTCAGCTTGGAAGTCTCAATACTGTTGGATGGTTTCTCGCGCTCCAAATTGCTATTTTGCATCAAACTCTTCGTCATTCTTAAATTAAATGTTTAGAGCCTGTATGTGCTTTAGTAATAATCGCCATGCCCTTTTTCTCTTGCAGCCTTTGAACTGCCGACAGTGCTTCAGAAGGGAGAAATACCGATAATCGACAACCGGAACTGCGCCCGGCGCTTTGGCCGTCTGCAGCCACCGCCACAGATTTACGACTCCATGTTGTGCGCTGGAGACGAGTTCGACAGTGTCGACACCTGCCAGGTAAGAACTAATAATGGTGACCTGACCACTAGAAAAAGATAAAATTAAATTACCTTTCACAAAATAGTCCATTTTTGATGTTCACCTTTCCACTCGATGCATTTGCATTACTCTCGCGTCTCTCTCTCTCTCTCTCTCTCTCTCTCTCTCTCTCTCTCTCTCTCTCTCTCTCTCTCTCTCTCTCTCTCTCTCTCTCTCTCTCTCTCTCTCTCTCTCTCTCTCTCTCTCTCCCTCTCTCTCCCTCTCTTCCACCGATCGATGCCTGACCATGTCCTTCGATATCGACGGCGCTCCGAGTAATTGCCTTCGGATCGGCACAGCCACTTGCCCTATCTCGCGAACAATGAACATCTCTCGGCCTCGAATACCGGTCCGGCGCCTGCGAATGACGTTCACTCCAGCAGCCAATTCTCCACACACTTCGTATACCTGACGACTGATGAGTGCTGATGCTGCAGATGGCAGCATCATGGGTTTGTATGTTTATGATGAGCATCAAAGTCACAGTGTCAAAGTGTGGACGTCAAAACTGAGAGCGATCTATGAGTAGGGTACTAGGTATTGACAATCATGAACTTACTTTTATCGAGGGTGGGTTTCCACAATTGATTTCAAACCTGTTTAAACAATATTACATATGCGTATTATACGAAGCTTCTTCTTAAGACCAAATTGGCTAGACTTTATCGATTTATGACCATTTACCAGACCGGCATTGATTTATAACCACAGCAGACTGACCTGTTGCGCGTCCTCCGCCTACTGGCGCTGACCTGTGGATCGCCGTCTTTTCCAGGGTGACAGTGGCGGGCCCCTGCTGGTGGCCTCTGACAGCGGCTCCTACACGCTCGAGGGTGTCGTCAGCTTCGGCTACGGCTGCGGCAGGCCCGGGTACTACGGCGTCTACCAGCGCGTCGCCTGTGAGTAGTCAGACAAAACTCCCGTCGTCCGCTGTTTCGCGGCGTAGTCGTCATTACATAGCAGAGAACGAATGTAGCCGTCATTACTGATTTTCAGACTCATCTGATGGACTGCGAACAAAAGGAATAATTCAGCAATCATTGATCAGGTTCGCCCGCAAATAGCACACGAGTTTTCTAGACTAGCCAATGTATAAGGGAAGCAGGAGGCATGCAAACCCAAGGTGTGATTAAAATATAAGCCCTCGCGGGCCGAGGGGGGAGAGGCGGGTGCCGTCCCCCCCCCCCGACAGTGGTTTTTCGCGATAGCTCCGAACACGCTGACGATAGAGAGCTGAAACTTGACATGCCTGACCTTTAATTCAAGCCAGATCTTCTGACACCAACCGCATTTTCGAGTCAAGTCAGGTCACTGACCTATGACGTCATAAGTGAATCTCTGCACGGTCTTCAGATGTGGCAACTTCGCAACGCCCTCACTGCCAGAGGAGCTTACACAGGGAGATGAAACTTTCAGGACCTAGTATAAATTAGGAGTATCACAACTTGTGTGCCTCGGATTTTTCCTAAAGGTCATATGAGGTCAGGTCATTTTCGTGACCACACCACTATACCTAAGTCAATGGGGAAAAAATGAAAACTGCTATTTTAGCGCCGGGAACGATCTCAAACTACCTAAACCACACGGAATCGTGATTTCATGCCATCCTTGCAAGTTTCGGTGCTTCATCTTTGTACTTTTGACCTTGCGTGACGTCATTTATGACGTCACTAGGGTCATCAGAGTTTTTCGTCGATATCTTCTGGTCAAATTGAGCTAGCGAGTCGGAAAAGCCACCAATGGACTCGGAAAGACCTGCTGAATCGAATGATATGCAACATGACCTCCTTCAACCAAGTTCGTGACCTGGGGGGTTCTGACCTGACCGTGACCCAAGATCAACACCAAAATTTGACCTCACCCAAATAAAAAAATATAGCATTCGACGTGCCTGAGCAAGGCAAAAACGATGCTGTCAAAATCACGGCTCTGCGATCATTTTTTTTTTTTTGCGAAGTTATTCGCCAAAAACCGAACCTGTAACCTGGGCCACTTGACCTGACCTCAGAGGTCACTGGTTGACCAGAGAACTTAAAATCGGGCACACGCTCGTTTTCTTCCGCGACGCTATAGCTCCATTAGGGGCGAAATGGCGGGGGGAGGGTCGTTTCCGCCCCCCCCCCCTCGGCTGGCGCGTATGTAGAAAACCAATAGGTCCGGCGAGGATTAAGCATCCAACGACAATTCAGATCACTTGATTTTTTGGTGAGTTATCGTGATAAAAGGCACGACATATTGAATGACAGTCTTTGAATTGCTAAGTTAACATATATTAGATATACGTACCTACCTAATAAATCAAAAGGTATGTAAACGGTAATGTGTTGACGTTTAAACACAACAGCGGTATTTTCACATAGGTATTGGCTTCTGGATGTATCATCGGAATTCGAAGCCATTATCCAACAAAATGGCATGCTACAGAAATCGTTTCAAAACAACTTCTGAAAACTCTTCCGCTCATCTATGTAGTTTTGATCAGTCACACGAAAGACCCCATTAGCCTCTCGAACTTCCCACTAGATGTCACTGCGGTCGGCGCCGCCGCTGGCCGGTCGTGGTCGGCCGGTGCAGCGGACGGCAGCGGAGGCAGGTGCTGGCGCCCACGTATTGAGCCGAGACCAGGTGGTAGCGGCTCTTCCCTCCCTCTCCCTTTGATGTCGACCGCCGACCTTCTCCGGAAAGCATGCGTGGCGACCGATCGGAGTCGGCGCTGCCAAGGTCCCGCCTGGAGTGAAATGGGCTTCAAGGGTGCACGACTGCGCGAGGAGTGATAAAATTGATGAAAACACAAATCCGCAATTGTGTCTATGTCCATATCATTGCCCTTAAGTCTGTGTGTAGCCTGTGGCAGCCTTTTCTCATCTCCTTCACCAAGCCGTGCCGTATAAGTACAGTAGCTTTTCCGTCTTCCTGCACTATCACCATCTCGTTTCGTTGCAGCCGTCACTTCCTGGATCGCGGCTGAGATGGCCTCGTAGACCCGTGCCCCGGCGGTACTTCACGGTGGAACACTGCCCACCGGCCGCATCGCTCGATCGAAGCACCGCCCCGCACCCTGAACGTCAACGGATGGAGAACGTCAGAGCTGGACGGGCCGACTCCATCAGGCGGTTACAGTGGGCCTCAGCGGCGCTGGACCGACCGAAATTGGCGGTCTGAAGCCGCTTGAGGAAGACTGGGTCCGGTCGGTGGTTAGGGCCGGAGTGGTAGGAAGTACTGATTGTTGATGTGAGACAATGGTCAGTTGTAAGTGGTGGCATTGTGGTCTACATTTCTGTACACTGTTGGTATTCTCTATTATACTGCCGAAATGGTGTGATGGTATACGCTGCGCTATGTTTAGATATTCAATCATAAATCCAGTCGACGTAGCTCGCTGTGATAAATGATTGGTAACATCAGTTTATTTTACTGTCGCATTTGTATAGCACCGCATTCGATGGAACTGTGTATAAGGGTATAACAGAACTAACTCAGAGCAGACATTATGTGATGTGACTTAAGAGCTCTTGAGTGATGAGCCTATTGCTTTTAGTGAATACAGTTTTTACTGAAAGGCTATCCCAGTCTGTCAAGACATTCGTCTCATATGCTTTTAAGATCGAACTATGTAGGACACTGTAAACTTGGGTATCAACAGCAAAAACGCCGTGACGTCGAGGCCCTATTCAGTCGGTATTCTCGCATTGCCACTGCTTTTAGAAATATCTCGGTAGCCAAATGTAAAATAACTAAAGCAACCTACATGCGTCATCACGTGGCGGCTATATAACATTTTGATATAGCTATTGGCTTGTGTATAGAATAAAAACATTCATATAAAATCCTCAAGAGTGGCATGGACATCTTATATAACCTTGGTACGACGGGTCGGCTTTTACGAGAGCCGTATCACAAGTTTTCTGGCATTGACCACGACGTAGGTATAGCATACCTACAAAAACAGGTGAATATGGACCATGGACGCCCGAGTGGCTTATATAAAAGGTTTGACTGAATGTCTGTGCGATTCGATATCGGGTTCGAGCTGAAGTGCACGCTAATGGGCAGCTACCATGCATCTCATCGTCTGAACACTTCAGTACAAGACAAGTGCACTGATGAGCGATGAACTATTTTCTCTTCTTTTTTTTTGTAAAATGACAGCGCATATTTTTATTAGGACTTCGGTTATAAATTAGTATCGAATAGTTCACTGTCTTTCTCAGCGGAAAATAAACTTGGGAGAGCTGATTCAGAAAAATATACCTAACCATCTAATCTATATTTGTTCACGTGTTTTAAATAAATTAGATAAGTAAAATAACAGATATTGAATATTGATACCCTAACCGTAACAGATAGACATTGATTAGATATTAATCCAGTGAAAGCAATGATAACTAATTAAAGCCCCGAAGCCTCATGCAAAGATATGCTCGCCCTCTGGCAGCATTTGGAGGAGTGCTGAAACTCCCTGCCATAAGGAGGAAAATATAATATGTAAGTCACGATTTATCGAAACTTTTCATCTTATAGAAAGAAAAGCAAATGACAACCACAAGGTAAAATAAATAGTTTATCGCTGAATTAAGTCCAAAAGATTACTGAGTTCTATGGAGAGCTATGGTATTCCATCGATCAAAATTTCAATATTAACTTGATGCATTCATTGGAAATGGCCGCAGTCTTACAAATGAAGCATTCCAGATAGTTCGAAGCCTGTCAAATATCTAACAATCCTGTAGCCTGTATGAGAGAGACCGAGACGATTATCACCAGTAGCATACAAAAACACTAAAAATGGATCACAAGGCAGAAGACCAACTGACCAAGCTGCTTGACATCGAAGTTTCAAAGGACACGAAAAGGAGCAGATATCTAAATGCAGGTAAGTTTTATGGTGGTGTTTAGTTAGTAATGCTACATAATTCATATTTTCATATTTGGGAACTTAAAAAGGACCTCTGATTCTATCTCAGCCCTCTGACCTCTGCGCTCAACACAGCCGAGGTCAAACTGCACAACAAGCCGACCGACATCTGGGTGTCCTTCCTCGGTCGGGTCTATGACGTCACAAAAATGGTGTACAAAAACCGAGCCGACCCGCGGATCAAGCCGCTGCTGGCCTACGCCGGCAAGGACATCTCCCGCTGGTTCGACCCCAAGACGCGTGACGTAAGCAGCTGGGAGTTTGCGGCGGCCTCCGCGGCGGGGAAGGGGGGGGGGCAGGGAGGTGCTGGCGGAAGGGGAGGGGCCAGGTGAAAGATTGCTGACTGATGGGCTGTTCAACACTTTACCGCGGAGGCACACACTGAGGCCATGTGCAAACACACGCCATCACCCGGCCGGCGCTGTAAAGTGTTGTTCACTGTTGATGGTAAACTCAAACTTTCAAGGGGCAGATCCGCATAGTTCAGTCAGTAACATATTGACGGGATGGTCGAATGGTGTCAGGGACGCATTTTTACACTGATTGGCATTTCTTGGAATAAGACAGATAATCCTCATAACTTAAGAAACAAACTATGATAAAGTTATGTACCACATTACCTTCATAAATAGTCAGCTTGAAAGCAAAATGACCATGCTCTACAGTTTCAACACACAACGATTCGGAATCACTCTCATTATATTATCAACTGACGCCCCGTCCCCACCGTCCTACAGCTGAAGCGGCACGTGGACCCGACGACCCAGGGGCAGTGTCCCTACCTGCCGCACGGCCAGCTGCTGGGCACGCCGCCGCCGTTCCCCTCCGCCACCTGGGCCAACGACACGGGCCGGCCCTGGTGGCGGGACGAGGCGCTCTACTTTGTCGGCCTTCTGTCGGCCAGGTAGGATAGATGGTTTCGCCAAGTATAGGATAGACCGTCTGTCTCTGGGCAGGAAGACGGGTGGTTCCGCCATGTGGGATTGGTGGTATCAGCGGGCAACTTTCAGACAGGTGCGGCAGGGTGTTTTAGAAGGGCATGATATGTGGCGTGTTAGAAGTCGGTAGGGCAGCTTATCCTCAGCTGCACTCATCCTCAGGAATAGGATGCATCAAATGGGCAGAGTATGAGTGCAGTCAGATGCACAGCTTAACGAACGGTGATGTACCTATGACCCATAAAATGGTGATGTATGGGCGATACATCACGATCTTTGCTAGTAGAAAACTGGTTATTTGTGTGACCATTCACATTCAAGACGACACGGCCTGAAACACGTAGTCTCCAGCCGCATCGGACGTGGAAGCTCTGTTCCTAGATCTTTCTAGCTCTATCTAGCTCTAGCTCTATCTAGCCATCATGCCATGCGGCACAGCATGATAGTAGGCGCTATGCTTCTTTTGTTCCTAGATGGCAGCACCAGTATAACACCTGCGGATAGGCTGTGCCGCATAGCATGGACGTGCTATGCGGCACAGCATACCGGTAGGCGTTATACATACTTCTGTCCCTAGATGGCAGCACTAGTATGACGCCTGCGAGTAGGCTGTACCGCGTAGCATGATGGGTTGGTGGGCGACGGGCTTCCGCTTGGTGGAGGCGGTAAACGTTAATACATGCATAGGGGCCGAACGGGGGGGGGGGGCACCGGGGCACCGTGCTCCCTTTGATTTTGGCATTTTAACATTAGCCCTATGGGCGTTGCACGGAAAGAATGGGACCAAAAGTCGGCAGTGCCCCCCCCCCCCTTAATTGAAGGTGTTCCGCCGCTACTGGCTACATGGGCTTCATAGTCTACAATTACAAAGTCTTCAACTGCGAGCAGAAAATCGCTATAAACCAGAGGGTGAGAGAGCACCGAATAAGTAATTCTTATATAAGTGATACTTGACAACAAATGTGTTGATTTTGCTTACGGAGGCAGGTGCAAAGCTCTCAGAGTTCGGAGACTTATCCGCTTTAGCCGAGTGTAGATGTATGCAAGCCTCCGGGAGTTCAGTCCGGCTACGACTGAGTCTTTTACGTCAACAAACGTATCTTGCTAAGAGATCAGCTCTGAGCTATATCACTCCCACGGCATAAAATCGCGGCTTTCTGGCACGGTGATCGTAAACAGGTCTCTTGGAGCGGCGCGGGCTCCATTTCTGCCGAGATCCGAGTCCGACACGCACAGCGCCGCCCTGTAAACGACCTGCGGCGCTCACACAGCAAAACAGACCGTCAGGTGTGCCATGTCGTCCGCGTAAACACGACCTGGCCATGGCCGGCGTCGGGAGTCGTTTTTTTCTGCGGCACATTGGCAGATTCCAAACAGACGCGGCACACGGACAGTGGTAAGTTTGTGCGCGCTGAGAGCCGTGGCTAGAAGCGATAATCGACCAATAAACACTCTGGGGAGAGTTTGTGAGCACGCAGAATTAATTATAGAACTAATCACCTGAGAAAATGCAGCAGAATTAATGTCAATTTATGTAACAGCTAATCCTTTCTTTAGGTGTCATGTCTGTTCAGTGTTCTTGATGCGATATAAATTGCGGCACGAGTTGGATGTGAACAAATATAATATACAATAAAATAATACCAATTTTTAAATGAAAACGTTAACTAAGCTTAATCTACTTACCATATTATTTACACCATTCCTTTGAATAGTTACACAATACACATCCTCGTAATTAAATACATTTAAAAATATTCCGGGTTTTTGAGACTGTATTCAAAATGCGCTTGGTCCAAAGGGCCACACTAATTAACTGTTGCAAAAATATTTAACTTTTGTCCATTTGTTTCGCACCTATATCCACCATATCAAACTTTGGTCAGTGACCTTAGCACTACTCCTTTCGCACGACTACCGATGATCGTACGATACCTCCCACGCCGAGCAAAGTTCAGTGAGTTATATCGCTTCAACTACCGGCCGTCGACGTCCGCCCTTTAAACCTCATCACAGGTCAGAGTTGATCCAGCTCGTAAAACTGTCGCCACCTCACCACCTCTCCAACTCTGTGGGCCCCGCTCTGACAGCCTCCTCCGATGTCACAGGACGCGGCGTATCCGGCTGGTGAACATGCTGACCCGGACGGAGACCACGCTGGCCGTGCCGGAGGAGTGCACCATGTGGGAGATCCTACAGCGACACCTGCCGCACAACTCGCACGCCGCTAGCTATGTGTGGAAGTATGGTGATCGACTTCTGGACATGGACAAGACCTTGGAGCAGAACGGGGTGAGCTCAAAAAGAGACAGGGAGGAAGTGGATACAACTGAATTCACGGGAAACGTGAAAAAGATACATGTATACTCAGCAACAGGAGAGAGCTGCAACTGTACTGGCATAGATTGACCTGGCATAGATTGGCATACTACTGGACCTGAGACGTAATTAAACTCTGACGCATCATACAAGTACTTTAAATCGGTGTTTAGCATGAACAGCAGTTGTCATGGCACACTGATGTTCCATGGTGGTCACGTTTCTCCAATACCACATCGTACCAAAATTCTTCACCTTTTACTGGCTCGGAAGTGATCGCGACCAGCCGAGCGAGCACATTTCGTTTGCCGGTTATTAAACTCGCGGAATTCGAAGCACGCTCTTCGATTTAATAGCCGAGTGCAGACTTGTTCACCGGCATACCACGGATAAGTCACTGATGAACCGAATGTGATTCGTTTTAGATCCCGGACCAGTACCAGGAGTTTTATAAGCTGGACATGGACGAGGACAGCTATCTGCCGGCCATCTTTCTACATTACTCGGACGATCTCACTGAGGTCTAAAAGCAGTATACCCAGTGTTAGATGACACATGTTCAGTGTCAGCTGACAACCGTCTCACAAGAACGAAAAAAGCGAACGACATGCTTTGCTGATCGACTATCATGGGAAGATTGTGTCATGAAAGTACAATTAAGTCATCGATCAAAATAAGTATAAGTTATTTTTCAGCAGTCCGTATGAGCGTTTGTAAATCTTGGTGCACCTTGCTTACATGTGAAAATAACGAAATAAAGTAAAATGATGATGCTAAATCTGAAACTATGCCGGGAATTCATGAAATTTCGTTTTTAACAAATCGGCTTAACTTTGTCTGGAAAGCAATAAATACTCTGCATGTGAATGCTACCGACTTAATTCACCCTCCACCCTGAGCCTGTTTCGGTTATCTGCCGGGAGAGCTGATGACGCCAAATGACGGATGGCGTCATTGCGCCGGGGACGTGACAATCATCTCGTCCGTGATGAAAGACATCGATCACCGCTATCCGCGGCCAGTGAGCCTCTGGACTGTTCACCGGGTGTTCCCCGCAACAGCCACCCACGGCCACTAAACCTCTGCACTCTTCACTGGGTGTCCCCGGGACCGCACATCATGAGGCGGTGCTGTTTCATGCTTTAAAACCAGATCAACAGCCGCCAAGCAAGCATTATAAATGATGTGTAAAGAGTGTTTTTATTCCACGATACTTTGTCTGGTGTTATGATAACTACAGATATTTACTCGTACGCTAGTCGCTAACTACACAGTTTCACGTTCCTTTCCAACATATTGGTTGATGAGCATTTAGCATCTTGTCTTATCTCAAGATGCGTTGTCATGAAAGCTTTCCAGGCTTTCCAGGCGCAAGAAAGCTTTCCAGGCGCAAGAAACGTTTCCAGGCCTCCATTGACTTTTGACTGGCGCTCATTGAGTCATCGATGAGCGCACCCTCTTTGTACCCGCTCCTGTGGCAAGCCTACTCGTCACCGACGCCTCTTTTCCATGGCACTGCGAAGATTATGTCGGCCGCCGGCGTGCAGCAAGGCGATCCATCCGGTCCTGCAGTCTTCGCCCTGGCAACTCATAGCATCGTTAGCTCCGCTACATGCTCTATGAACACCTGGTTTTTAGATGATGGCACCTTGGGAGGAAACCGCGCCGATGTATATTCTGACCTGAAGAAACTCATTCCAGCGATGGCCAGAGTCGGACTGCAAGTAAACCCTTCCAAGTGCCAGATCATCGTGCCAACAGTCGACAACAAGGGAGAAACCATCAGCCAACTCCACCACATCATTCCAGGTGCATCTGTCCTGTCAGAGGATGAACAGACTGTCCTCGGAGCGCCACTGACGGCAGCCGCTGCGGAGCTTTCAGCACAGGACAAAAGGGAGGACCTCGTGCGGATGGTCGGGCGGCTGAAGAGACTCGATGCTCATTCTGCGCTCTACCTGCTCCGCAATAGTCTATGGCTCCCCAAGCTTCAGTACTTGTTGCGGGCTGCGCCATTTTTCCAGCATCCTGCGCTGCTGAAACAGCTGGATGAGGTCATCAGAGCGGCGATGGAAGAGCTGGTGAATGTCAGATTCAGCGACATGAACTGGGAACAGGCCGTCCTACCTACCGGACTCGGAGGGCTAGGACTGAGGAGAACGGAGGAAGTCGCGCTCCCGAGCTTCATCGCTTCGCTCCACCGCTGCCAGCAGCTGCTACATACCATCCTGCCGGCAAGCTTCGCGGATAAAATCTTAAACGAGCTGAAGCAGGCAGAAGAGGAGTGGCTCGTAAAAGCTGGCGGCAAGATGGCTCCTGCAGACGACACACGCGACCGACAGAAATCCTGGGACGCTCCGATCGCCGAACACCAAAGGGACCGCCTTCTGCTCGAAACCAACCAATTCGACCGCGCTCGTATCCTAGGCGCAGCGACGCCTGAAAGCGGAGCATGGCTCAGAGCTCTCCCGTCTTCTAGTCTGGGAACCCACCTGGACAACGAGACAGTGAGAATCGCAGTCGCTCTACGTGTCGGCGCCGATGTTTGCAGCGGCGTCCACGCCTGCAGGTGCGGCTCGCCTGCCGACGTCAAGGGACACCACGCTCTCACCTGTCAGTTCAGTGCTGGAAGATTACCGCGCCACACAGCACTGAACGACATAGTCAGACGTGCTCTGTCGACTGCAGGCATACCAGCTCAGCTCGAGCCGTATGGTGTCGACCGGGGCGACGGAAAGAGGCCAGACGGCATGACCATCTACCCATTCTCGCATGGCCGTTGCCTAGTTTGGGATGCGACATGCGTCAATACATTCGCAGACTCAAGACTGGGAGGTGCCGCGCTGAAGTCTGGGGCGGCGGCCAAGAAAGCAGAAGACGAGAAGCGCCGAAAGTACGCCCAGCTCACCCAGCGTTTCAGGTTCGAGCCAGTTGCATTTGAGACAGACGGCGCCTGTGGTCCTACGACCAAAGCCTTCCTCCAAGAACTTGGTGCTAAAATGGCGGCGGTCACCGGCGACCAGCGAGAGATGGAGTGGCTCTGGCAGCGACTCTCCATCGCCATTGTGAGAGGTAACGCCGCTTCAGTTCTCTTGGGGTGTGCCACTGACCCGTCCCAACATCACCTCAGCGCCGAGCGCCCCAACAGGGTGAGCGCTGAGCAACAGCTGGCGACGGCGGCCGGCTCGAGGCGGTCTGGCTGCTCGGGTGGTTCCCGGTTAGTGGCAAGCCAGCAGAGGTGGTCGCCGCCGTCGCCGAAGAAGTTGGAGGAGGAGAGCAGGGCGCTGCAGCTGCACGGCGGCAAGGCGCACACGGCTCGCGAGCTACAGCTGACCCCAGCCGCAGACCCCGACAAACACGGCAACGATCCGCTCTACACCGGACTTCCCAATTACGGTAACTCGTGTTACCAGAACGCCACAATGTACGTTGTGTCTCACCGCTCACTGCCCGGCAACCCCTGCGAAGACGGCGGCGGGACTGGCAGTCAATCTGACGGCAGACCGCTCGGTCTCACCGGCCTCAGGAACACGGGCAACACCTGCTTCCTGAACACAGTCGTCCAGTGCCTGAGCAACACACGCGCTCTCCACGATTACATCCTGCGCGATGGACGCTCCTCAGATGCCAGCATGCCTGCCGCCGCTACGAAGGGGTCCCTCATGAACACATTCTGCGTCTGATACGCGACATGTGGACATCTCGGACGAAACGGAGCGGGTGCTCACACCGCACCACTCAAGTCGATGATCCAACGGCTCGCGCCGCGCTTCATGGGCTCCCAGCAGCAGGACGCGCAGGAATTCCTCAGATATCTGCTGGAGGGACTTCACGAGGACGTGAACCGGGTGACGAGCCGGCCAAAGCCGATCACGACCGACATCGATGACTCAATGAGCGCCAGTCAAAAGTCAATGGAGGCCTGGAAACGTTTCTTGCGCCTGGAAAGCTCCAAGTTTGTTGACCTGTTCGTGGGCCAGCTCAAGGCTACCCTGCGGTGCACGGTATGTGGCCACGAATCGGTTACCTTCGACCCGTTCTGGGATCTGAGTCTGCCAATCCCGTCACGAAGTGGCCAGGTGCGCCTACAGGCCTGTTTTGACCTGTTCACCAAAGAGGAGGTGCTCGATGGCGACGAAAAACCGACCTGCTCAAAGTGCCAGAAGCGCCAAAAGTGCACCAGGAGCCTCTCGATCCAGAAGTTCCCGCGCATCCTCGTGGTGCACCTGAAGCGGTTCTCGCCTCAGGAGAGGGTCGGCGGAAAACTGAACACCACTGTCGACTTTTCGATGAACGGTCTGGACCTGTCGCCCTACTTGGCCGGACAGACGCCCTGCCGGTACAGCCTATACGGCGTGGCGAACCACTCTGGCACGCTGCTCTCAGGACATTACACCGCTTACTGCCGACACCCGTACACGGCAGAGTGGTACGAGTACAACGACTCGCGGGTCCACGTGATGGATCAGAGAAACGTCAACAGCGCAAAGGCATACGTGCTGTTCTTTGAGCTGACCGGCTCGAAACACCGCTCCGGCTCGACCCACGTCTAGTCATCCAGTCACGGGAGAGGAGCCTGCGATCGTCACCCGCTCGGGCCCTGTGTAGTCACACCGGCCGGCGCACATTCTGCACGGACAACTCTAGCCAGCGGCCTATCGTGATTGTGATATTGGGTGTAAGGTGTTGTTAAAAACCAGAACGGTCTTTTTTATCGTGAACTGTAAACTGTCTCGCATAGCAATATAAGATGCGTTGTTATCTTTGGACAGCCATCATCAGCATAAATTAGGTATACGTAAAAAGATGAGGAAAGCTGTCAAAACACCACCTCTGTATGTAACACCACTTCTTCCCAATTATTTCAAGTTATCAGCGTGTTTTCGTATAATGCAGCTTGATCATCTGAGCGGCACTGCAGTACTCGGAGCTTCAACAATCACTATTGTCCAATGTGCTGTTTCAGTAACGGTCTTGAACTGGGGCGCAATCTCTTTTGACAGCATTGAAGTGATAGCACTAACGTTGGTAATTTACCGTCAAACCGTGCGACCGAGGCAGCGAAACTGTCTGAGGGCCAGAATGGTAATGCAATTATCAAATATTCCAATTCTGAAACTTGCCGTCCATTTCTCGGAATGCCCCCAGGGGCTTCTGGTCCGTCCAGCCACGCAGTCTGGGTTCATCCAAGTCACCCCAGGCCATTATTTACACAAACCAGACCGATCTGAGACCGAACTGCGCCATCCTCGCTGCCTGAGGTGCTGGCAGTTTCTGTGGACCGCATAGATGGATACACTGCAGAAAGGAATTCTAAACATCGGCTACGCTCCGGCCTGGCGGAGGGCACACGAACTGCTTCAATATCAGCCTGTGCTGACACACAGACCCACACAAACGCATACGCACAGCAGGACACGAACAGGATGAGACCACTGAACTCTAATATACTGGAAGGAGCATTGGTGACTTGTTTTTGTCTATCGATTTCCGCCATGTTGTGTATACCAGAAATATAAATTGCATGTACGGTAGCAGAGGTGCAGTTTAGTGAGAGGTACACTACCAAAAGTGCTGCGCTTCATGCTTGCAGTTTGATTGCAGTGATCAATTTTCAAGACTTTGGTATACAAACATGGCGGAAATCGTTAGACATTCTGGCCCATATACGGCCAAGGCGAGTGCCTCCCCCTGGATGAGACCAACTCTGTCCATGACTGCAGTAAGCTAATAAACGCCTAAATGAATAGCAAAAAAATGCATTAAAGAAAGCAAAGCAGCATCTCAACGAAACAGCGTACCTGCAAAAAGCTAGCATCGCCATTGAAAACGAACCATAAATAAAAATAAATAAATACAGAAATGGTGTCAT